AACTCAGCGGCTAGAACGGCCAGCGGCACCTGTGACACATTGCGCACTTGCTCATAACTTGTGCTGGCTTGTTCTGGCATGACGGTCATTCAAGCCTAGACGAGAAGGCGGACTTGCTTCGAGGATCTGCTCTGCAACTCCGCGACTCCGCGGCTCGCACGTGGGCGCAAGGGCCCCGACAAGTTCGTTATGGGTTTGCTCTGCTCTGCAAAGGCTGCGTCCCTGGAGCTCAAACCGCGAAAAAGCAACCCTGAGCCCAACCTTTCCGAAATTCACTGAAGTGATCTGATTTGCAGATCCTCAACCTTTGCACCCTGCGGCAAGGCCATGTTCTCGCGATGTTGTCCTCGCAGCGTCGGCGCTCAGCTTGCGCCTGCACTGGACACAGGCAGTCGGGGTTTAGGGCCGGGTGGGGGCTTCGGGGTTTGAAGCCATCGGCCCAGAGAAAAGCCCGAAGCCGTTCAAAACCCGGCCTTCAACGCTTTTGGGGGCTCTCACTGCAAGCTTGGGACATCAGCTTGGCGTTTTTTACAGGGGTCGCCGTCTCTCCACACCGAAGAAGTCCCGAAATCCCCCCATTGTTGTGAAAACGCCTACAGGGCCTACGTACGTGGCCCAGGGCAGTTTCTGTGTAGGCATTATCACAAAAACCGATCCTCAGAGCATTCTTCTTCATTTTTCTGGAGAGCAACCTGGAGAATGTGGAAAAGTCGACTTCTTGTGACCTCTAGCGTGTGGAAGCCGGGCTCTCGGCTGCAGCTTTGGCGTGGCGGGACATCGGTTTGCCAAAGAATTCTCGCGTTGCAAGAACTTCAGTGTATGCTTTAAAAGGCCAGATTAGCCTATAGAAGCTGGTGACGTAGCGGAAGAATGCCCCGGGCAGTTTCTGAACACGTAAGAAAATGCGGCATTTTCCCAGGCACCCACACCGGAACAGATAGGGGATGTCCCGAACATGCTGCATTTGCTCACGTCTGTAGGCTTACCATGTAATTTGGGTCCGTCTGTACGTGGTGTCGGTCTTCGGGGGAGGCAGGTTTCGAGTTTTTGTTGGTTGCGGTTTGGGGTGACGTGACTGCAGGGTTTGTTAGGGCGATTCAGGTGGACGCCTTTCAGCGAGGCCTTTGTGAGGACAGAAGGTGAGTTACCAATCTTGTTTTCACTCCCCAGGGCTTGGGGGCATCGGGCAGCGAACTTAGGACTACATGAACCTTAGAAGTTCTCATAGTAATAGGGCTTAGGGCTATCCCAATTATAAGGTTCATGTGGCCAAGGTTGCGAAAGGGAGAGCACACATCAGCTTGCCAACCGATGTCAACCCTACACCTTATGTCCAAACCCTAAACCCGAATTACTCCCTCAACCCTAAACCCTATAAGCCCCAAACCCCAAACCCCAAGCTCCGAGGAACCTCGTGAATGGAATGCCCTGGGCGTTGGCAGCTCGGGTTTCCTTGGCTTTTGGGGCCCTTAACAGGGGGGGGTTTAGGTCCTCAAAGGGGCTCTTAAGAGCTTTAGGGTTTAGGGTTTAGGGTTTAGGGTTTGGGGATGTTGGTGCTTTTAGGCTTTGGCGGGTTGGGGCGGGGGTGGGGGGGGGGGAACGTTTTGGGTTTAGGGTTGGCGCTCTTTTACGACACAACCCCGTTCCCTAAAGCCTGAGCCCTCCCCCGAATCTCTCACATCCACCCAGGCCCACCAGGAGGTGGTCCGCCTGCTGCTCAAGGCGAGATGCGGGCAGTTTCCCTCCGGACTCCTCAGAACTTTAAGTACTTAAGTAGATTTCAGGCTTTAGGGGTTTAGGGTTCAGGTGTTTAGGTGTTTAGGGGTCATGGTTTGGGACTTAGGGGTTTAGGGTTTAGGGCTGCCACAACAGTGTCGGGGGCTCGAACTCAGCACTTGTCGAGGCATGTTTCCTGCGACTGCGAAAATGTCCAATGCCTACCGTTCATGCCCTGACATGGCCGGTGAGCCCTATGAAGCAGATCTTGAACCACTATCTTCCACTGAGGTAAGCTTGTGCAAGGGGAGGGGAGGGGGGGGGCAACTGGTAGTTGAGCAGACCCGCAGGAGTGGCGGAAAGCTCAGCCCGGCGGGTCCAGGGCTCAGGGTTTGGAGGTCTTTGGGCTGGGGTGAGGCAATTTTGGGTTCATTCAATTTCAGAAGGCTTTCGGAGTTTGGGGGGGGGTTTCCGGCAATGATGAGGGCGCAAGGCTCGAAAGGGACTCCCCCTGCGCCCCGTACTGAAGTCCCGAGCTTTCCTGAAAATGTCGCATCCGTAGTGCGGCGTCGGGCTTTTGGGGCAGGCTTCCACGCCCCAAAGACTTCCAAATCATCCATATCTAAGCAAACCAGAGCATGAACTCCGGCCGCCAACCTGAAGGAACTTAGCTTGCGGCCATCACCTGAAAATCCGAAACACCTCGACTGGCCCTGGGCTGAATACGCTTCGCTTGGATCAGCGCGAGGCCGAGACGCGGAGCGCTCGCAGCACGAAATGTTCGGCTCCGACCTCGTCTTCGGGGTACTGTACGGGAGCACCTTGCCGCCGCAAGGCCCCCCCAAGTCCCAGGCCCCATGGGACCTGTGAGACCTTCGGAATGGCACCCGCCTCGTGTCAAAGCCCTTCTGCTCGAGGCACGTCTCGAGGCACGCCGGCCTTTTGCTGCGAACTGCGCAGCAGCACCACATTCAGACGTTATAATCATGATGTAACTTGTCTAGAGTCCGTAGGGTAGTACAGTGTACCGGAAAGATGTATCGCTGGCCTGTGCTATGGCTCTGCAGCTTGGCCGCGTCAGCCGGGCCCAAGGACGAGCTCTTTGCAGCCGTGAGCGCCGGCGATGCAGATGCAGTTCAGAGGCTACGGGCTTTTGGTCTTGGCATAGTGGTGGCCGTGGGTTTTCGATTTGCGATGGACCGAATAGACGTTCTGGCTTATGGCTTGTTGTTGATCAGCCCAGGCCCCAAAAGCCCGAAACTCTTTAAATTCGCCCGGGCAGGCTTCTGGCCAGTGGCAGCTTCACTATGGTGTTCTTCGGTGAGGATGGGGTGAAGACCACTCTGCTGCATGAAGCCAGCTGGCAGGGAGATGTCGCTGTCGTGCGGTTACTACTCACTGCCTGGCCAGAGGGTGCGCAAGCCACGGACGGTTTGGACCGCGTGCCGTTGCACCTCGCTTGCCACAACGGCAGCATCGAGCTCGTGAAGCTTCTGTTAGACCAGTGGCCCGACGGACTCAAGCTTGCTGACAACTGGGGCTGGACTCCTTTGCACATAGCAGCCAGTCATGGCAACATCGAGATCGTTCGTTTCCTTGCCCAGCAATGGCCCGACGGCCTCAAGCTTCCGGACGATGACGGCAGGACTCCTTTGCACATAGCAGCCAGTCGTGACAACATCGAGATCGTTCGTTTCCTTGCCCAGCAATGGCCCGAGGGCCTCAAGCTTGCGAACGGCTACGGCTGGACTCCTTTGCACATAGCAGCCAGTCGTGACAACATCGAGATCGTTCGTTTCCTTGCCCAGCAATGGCCTGATTGCCTCAAGGTTGCTGGCGCCGGGGGCGAGACTCCTTTGCACACGGCAGCCAGTTATGGCAGCACCGAGATCGTTCGTTTCCTTGCCCAGCAATGTCCTGATTGCCTCAAGCTTGCGGACGATGACGGCCGGATTCCTTTGCACACGGCAGCCAGTTATGGCAACACCGAGATCGTTCGTGTCCTTGCCCAGCAATGTCCTGATTGCCTCAAGCTTGCGGACGACTTGGGCGACACTCCTTTGCACACCGCAGCCAGAGAGCACCGCGTTCAGGTCATCCAACTCCTCCTGGCGCAATGGCTCGAAGCAAGTGCTGCTGACACAGACAGCTTGACAGTTGAATTGGAATGCCGCTTCCTGGTCGACACAGTTTGCCATCTCAACCTGACCGAAGTCCCTCAAGCCTGGAAGGAGGCTGCGGCGGACTTGCAGTGCTCAAAGCCGGAGGATTTGCGGGAGTCGGATGTGCATTTCTGGCTTGCCAGCTGTGGCGGGCGCCCCAGTTGGGCTGACATCTTTGGCGCACTCGTGGACCGGCTGAAGGATCCCGAAGCCAAGGACGGGCAACAAGAGACTGGCTTCATGACATCATGGATTGTTCTCTCGATCTTTTTCCCCAAGTAACCTGGCAACGCTAAGGTTGCTAAGGGGTTCTAACGTGAAGAGTAAAGAGGGTTAGGTTGAGATAGTTGTTCAACGCCCGGGCGCGCAGCTTTCACCCACAGGTGGGCTTTGACTACGGGATTCCAGGGTGGCTGGTTACGTACAAACGCCCAAGATTGCACCCTTTTGAGGCTTGGGTGGCTCCGTGTTGCGAAAACATGGGACGTACGCTCCTGCTTTTTTGGGGGTGTTGGATGGGTTCGCCTCGTGTGTCCCTTACAAGGATCTGCGTGCTCGACACGGAGCTCTTTCCTTGCATGCTCCTCGTGAAGTGCAGAACTAGCACATTCTTGGCCGGGCATCATTTCTGAAAGTCCCGTGAGCACGCCGCACGTCTCGAAGCGTGGCATTTGGCTTCGCGACGGTACTTTCTCCGGCGTCGGTGCGCATTCCGTGCTCGAAATTGCACTCACTCGTTGTAGGTGGACATTTCGCTCTCGCAGGCGCCGGTCTGGCCGTGGGTTTTGGGGGTCGCGCTTTTCATCGTGGGGTTTGGTCTGTCCGGCGTGAGAACTGCCTGTGAAAAAGGGAGAGCCATTCATCTTGGCATGAAGGAGTTCTTGCAATCCCGCATCACGTTCGAGGATGTGATTGCCAACACCCTGTCCGACTGGCTCACATGGGTTGCATTGGTCTCCGCTGTCAGTGCGGCAGTTGTAGCCATTCGTCTGGAGACTCTCGCAGCCAAGTGGACGAAGAAGCGGCAAAGCAGACGGCTGGCGGAGGACCCCTTCGAGCAGGGTGCCAAGCAGCTGGTGAGCCTAGCCTTTGCGAAAAACGCGTGGCTCCTCAGGCTGTGGAGGTGGCTCGAAGTCTTAGTTGCCGTTTTGTGGTTGGGGTTCGCGAACTTGCTGGTTCGCTGGATTTGGTGGCTGCCGGTGGTCCTCCTCTGCTACGTCGGCCCGGCAGCCAGGCACTACGGAGTCGGGAGTCTGCTCCAAGCCCCCGCGAAGGCCATCATGACCAAGGACACAGCCTCACAGGCCCAACTTTGCTCGCTCAGCTCCTGTGGTTTTGTCACGTATGAGAACTTCTGAACAAGGGGAACGAGTTACGAAGAAGAGACACACGACTTCACTTCCGAAGATTCAGTTTATAGCCACCTCGGCGACGTGCTCTTACAAAGGTTTCGGGCAATCGGTTCCCCTTCGAAACGCCCATGTAGGCCGTTCATAGTGGATCACTGAAGAGGCTCGCGTAAGGCATTCCGGTACCGTCATTCATGTCGATTCTAGCAGGGTTTTTGATGGCGGAAATGGGCCTTTATGGAGGCTTCTTTTCCTCCTCCTTGTAGGCGGGTCAGTGAAAGCGCCACTTTGGAGGGCTGGGCCGGGCCCTGAAAGACAAGGCCAGGCGAAACTTTTTTCTGGGAGGAATTTCTGGGATTTCCGGGGAGCAACTGGTCGAGATGCTTATCAGGATCAACAGCAAGTGAGGGTCAATGAGGCAGACGCCACGCGCAGCAAGTTCGTTTTTTTCAAACGGGGTTTGGGGCTTAGGGCTCGTGGTTTGGGGATGTTTGGGGTTTAGGGCTCGTGTTTTGGTGTTTTGGGTTTGGGTTTGTTGTGGTGTCGATTTCAGGTTTTATGGTTTCGAATGTAGGCTTTGGGTTTAGATTTGAGGGTGTAAGTAATCACCGCCAGGGCATCAACCAGCCACCACGTCGCGATGAAGCCAACCCCGAACTTCAAACCCTAAACCCCTCAGTCCTGCAAGCACTTGAACCCTTAAGCCCTTCAACCCTAACACCTGCAGCCCTCTAAGGCTTTGTCGGCTTAGCACAGTTTGAGACCACAGTCGCACCCACATTTCCAAGACCAGTGAGCGACTAGAAATTACGGTTTCCCGAAGCCGCTGTCCAGGTGGCCGGCTTCCTGCGCACTCTGATCTTGACATGTCTTTGTGGCGGATTATACTTCTCGGTATTTGGCGACGCGTACTTGTTTTCCATACATTCCACGGTGGGCGCCTCCGATTCCATGCTGCTGAATCCTGCCCTTGTGGACTGGTCGCGGAGCAAGTTCAATGCGTGGGATAGCAGCCGGCTGCGTCAGCACTGGCTTTTCCAGTGGGCCCCTGGCGGTGTTTCAGCAATTGGTCTTTTTGATCTGGCTCGGCACTCGTATTTGGGCCTTCTGGGCTTCTACTTGCTCTGTCTGCTCTGCGCAGTCCTGAACTCCTGCGCGCCCAGCTTGCGAGCACGGATTCGAAAGCGCAGAGTTGCTGAGGACGTGAAGCGCTGGGCCGTAAAAGAGTTGCTTCAGAGCACTCGCCCCCAAGATTTCTGCACGGTGCACAAGAGTCTCAGGCCGGTGGTCGGTTTCTCGTGGCCTTGGCGGGCCGGGGTGTGGCAGGGCTTGGCCTTGCTGGTGCTGGATGTTGGGCTTGACATCAACACCATCGTCACCTTGCTGGTCACGAAGCACCACCTGTTCGCTGGGGTGATCAGCTTCCTGGTGGCTCGCAGTGTGCTGAAGCAGCTGTCTGCCCTCCCTCCTTGGCGTCTCCGCGAGGCCTGCAGGAATGGAGCCTGCTTCCCGGAGAACCGTTGAGTTGTCTTCCACAATCTTGAGAAAGCACCGAGTCAGTCACACAGATCTAGAGGTCGTAGTCAGGTATACAACACTTTCAAGACGTGTCGAGCCAAGCTCTCCATCCCTGAGTCTCCCTGCGTCACACGCACATGACGCACAGGCGATCAAGGACTCCTTGCGCACAGGCCTCATGCGGAAGGACCTCTTGGACTTCATCGAGGTGGCTTGGACTCAGCTCGGGTCGTATCCCAAAACCACATCCTACAGAGCATCTCTACAGTGCCCATATCCTAGATGATCCTTACAGCGCCCTCATAGGACGTGGATGTTCAAAGTAAAGGGCCTGCTTCGGCGTTTGACAGGGACTTTTTTGACTTGAGTCTTCGTGTTGTAGCTTGGAACCATGGCAAGCGAAGCTTCTTCTGGCAAGTGCCGCAGCCGCTGTTGAGGAGGAGCAACGCTCGGAGGCATTTTTCTGCGGGTGCATCACCGCCTACTCGCTTCTCTACTCAGCCCAGACGGCTGATCAACTGCTTGTGCAGTTCTTGAGCCTCCTCCTGAGCACGTGGCTTTTTGCAGGCGGGATGCACATATATACCGGTGCGTCAGCTTGAGGCGCACTTTTTTTCGTGGCCTGTGGAGTTTTGACAAGTTTCCAGGCTATGCTGTGCGAGTTTGTGACCTGGAGTTCAAGCTTGCGCCCGATGACATCCCGGCCAGTGAAGAAGCACCCAGAGCCGACACCGTGGGCGTCCGCATCGATGCAA